CCCCCCTCCCAACCGCCTGCTGGCAGCCGGTACCGAAAGCCCGCCAAGCGTCCCCCAACCGCCCCCCAACCGCCCCCAACCCAGACCTGCGGCGGCGCCATCTTCCAGGAGGGCCCCGACGGCCGCAGCCTCTCCCTCATCAGCACCCCCGAGCAGCTCGACACCCTCACGCGCGCCCTCAACCCGCGGGGGCCCAGGGAGGCGGCGCTTCTGGCCACCCTCAGGCGGCGGCAGGGGGAGCTGCTGGCGGAGCTGCGGCCGCCAGACCACCCGCTCGACGTGACGCAGGTGTGTGCACACGCACATGCACGCGAACGTGCGCCAGGCTTGGACGCTTGTACGTGCAAAATTGCACAACCTGTGGGACCCGTTTCGAGGGCTGTTGCGGTGCTTTGACCCTGGGGTGGCCCGCTGCCTTGCGCCACGTGCCGGATGGTGGTGTGGCCGTGGGCGCCGCGCCCGCGGGCGCGCGACTGATGCCACCGTCTTGCTCGCCGCCCGCCCGTCCACAGGTGCCGCGCCCCACGCCGCCGGACGGCGCGCGCCGGCGGCAGCAGTCGGCGGAGGACGGCGAGGGGCGGCAGCAGCAGCGGCAGCAGCAGCAGCAGCGGCTGGAGTCGTATGAAAAAGTCCTGGTGGGAAACTCGGGAAGGGGGCAGCCCTGGGGGAGGTTTGGGACCGGTCGACACGGCCGCGGGGCACAGACGCCGCCGCCGACATGCGCGCGCGCGACGCGCTTGTCACGGGTGCCCCTCCGACAGCCGCCCGCCAGCTGCCCCGTGGGCCCGGCCGCATCATCCAGCAGGGGAGGTCGACCTCCCCTGAGCGCCTGTGGGCACCCCATCCGAGGTGCCAACCGTCAGCCTCATTCCGTCTTCATGTGTGACGACTAACCGCCGCCGGCAACCGACTCCCCCAGGCTGACGCTGACCTGGAGAGTGTGAGGTCCTGTGTGGGGGAGCTGGAGGCGGTGGTGGCGCAGCTCATGGGGGCGGGCGTGCCGGGCGTGTCCTTCAAGGGCTGGCGGCGGCGGCTGGCGGCGACAACGACCACGCAGCAGCTGGCGGAGGTGCGGGGGCGGGCGCGGCGTGGCGGGGAGGGCGGCGCGTGCTCTTGAAGCAGATCGCCGTAGCAGCGGGCGGCGCGCCCTGGCCCCGGCCGCGTCGAGTGCTCTCGACAGCCGCGCCGCATGCTGCGGCCGCGCCCGCGCCGCGTTTACTGCCGGCCCGCGCCCCTTTGCAGGCTGGCGCAGCGCCGCGCTCTTGCCCCGCGCGCCGCGGCCGGCTCCCTTCTCTCTACCCCCCATCCCCCAACGCATCACACCTCCTCATCACGCCCCTTTTCCCTGCGTTCCGACTCGCGTGCCTCCCTCCCCTTGCCCCATTGAACCCCTCTCACACCCCTCTTGAATCACATCCAATCCAGAGCGCTCTCGAGCTGGAGCGGGAGCTGCAGACCATCGGCGAGGGCCTCCTGCCCGGCGCAGATGACGCGTCCCTGGAGCCATTGGTGCGGGAGGCCGAGCTCTACGAGTCAGAGTTCGTGCTGCCAGTGTCAGAGGCCGAGATGCGTGCAGCGCGGGCCGCGGCAGCAGACGCGGCGGACGCCGCGGGGGAGGAGGAGGGGCAGCTGCGGGACGAGGAGGCGGCGGCGGCGGCCGCGGCGGCCGCGGCGGCGGCGGCCAAGGGGAAGGGGGCGAGCAAGAAGGGGAAGAAGGGCGGCGGCGGCGGTGGCGGCGGCAAGGGCAAGAAGGGCGGCGGCGGCGGGAAGGGCAAGGGTGGCGGCGGCGGCAAGGGCGGCGGCGCGGCCGAGTCCGAGTTTGGGGTGGAGGGGGACGAGGGGCAGCAGCTGGGGCCGGCCATGCTGTTTGGCGGCGGCCGCGTGCGGCTCAAGGCGCCCGTGGTCGCGGCCAACGCGGCCATCGTGGCCAGCCACCAAGGCACGCCGGTGAAGCCCCCGCCGCCCACGGTCAAGTCAGAGGAGGCGTCGGTGGCGGCAGGCTGCGGCGGCGCCGCGGCCGCTGGCGGCGGCGTGAAGGAGGAAGGCGGTGCGGGCGGCAGCAGCGGCGGCGGCGGCGGGGCGGGGCCGGCGGAGGGGGCGCTCAAGGCGGAGGGTAGTGGCGGCGGGGGCGACGGCGAGGGCGGTGAGGGTGTGAGGAAGCTGGTGGCACCACTGGAGGAGCTGGATGACTCGGGTGAGTGGGGCCTTGTCACTAATGGTGCACACTGTTCTTGGGCTTGCATCGTTTTGTTGCAAGGGGAGGCGGGGCGCAGCCGCAAGTGCACACGAACGCACACACACACGCACCCACACACACGCGCGCGCGCTTGCGCGCGCAAACACTTGAACACCCGTGCTTCCTCTCCCCCCTTCCTCATACACATGCACACACACATGCACACACACGTGCCCCTACTCCTCCCCACACCCACACCCACACGCACCCGCGGCCCTCCCCCCAAAGACATTGAGGCCGAGGAGCGCTACCGCATCAAGCGCCAGCACGAGAAGGCCGGAGAGCCCGTCCCCCCGCCCCCGCTCCGCCTCTGGCGCTCCCCGCGCGAGCGCGCCGTGTGGCTGCGGGACGTGCGGCGCGCGCTCATCGGCGGCGCGCCGGGCGGCATGGCGTACTGCGCGTCGGCCCTGGCTGACCGCGCGACGCGGCTCGTGCGCGACTGGCCCCTGGGCATGAAGGTGGGGGGGAGGGGTGCGGGGAGGGTTTGGTTGAGACTGGGGAGGAGGGGATGGGGCTGGGGGATGGTTGGCAGCTGCCAGGGTCGCACAGGGGGAGCGGGGTGCACCTTCACGTGTTGGCGCTGCCGGGGCCGGCCGCCTCAGGTCGCGGGGTGCGGGGCCGCCGCCAGCTGTCAGTCTGGGCCGGGGCGTTCTCCGCTGCGCCGCGGCTGCAGAGCCGCCACCCTTCATCACCACGCTGCACCATGCAGCGCGCCGCCGCTGCAGGAAGGGCCAGCATGCGCCGCCAGCGAACGGTGCAGAGCCATGCCCCTTGTCGACTGCTTGCCCCGTGTCAATCCCACACCCGAGCACGCACACACACACACTCATGCACACACACACACACACATACACATGCACAAACCACAAACCACAACCCCACACTGCTCCCCCTCACAGCCCCACAACTGGATGCACGCGGCCGACCGCGCAGCGGCGCTGCGGCGGCGGCGCGTCGCGCTGCTGGGGGCGGAGCGCGTCGTGGCGGAGGAGTGGGCGGCCTGGAGCGATGAGGAGGAGCAGCTGCTGCCCTCAAAGCCCAAAAAGGTGCGGGCGGAGCGGGGGCGGCGCGAGGGGCGTGTCTCAAGGGTTGGGCATACAAGTAGACCCGATAACCGACTGGGGAGGGCGCGTGTCAGGGAGGGCCGCGCCGTCGACGGCCCCCCGGCATGCTTCACACTGTCACCTCAAGCCCGCAGCTGTCTTTCAGCTGCTCCTGCATCCTTCGATGCCTTTACCCCCTCCATCCACACCCACCGCCGCCCCGCACCTTACCCCCACACTATGTACTCCTCAACCCCCTCCCCTTCGCCGCTTGGCGTTTGCTGTGCCACCCGGCCCCCCTCCCTCCCAGTCCGGCCACTTTGACGTGCTGGACCTGGAGGCGGGCCGCGGCCAGCGCACCGCCGCGCGCCGCCTCAAGGAGCTGCTGCAGTCAGAGGGAGACGGCGGCGACGACGAGCCGCCGCCGGCGCCCGCACCCGCGGCCGCGCCCGAAGCGAAGCCGCCGCGCGGCTCGGCGGCGGCCCGCACGGCAGGCGGCAAGCGGCGCAGCGGCGCGCGCAGCGGCAAGGGCGGCGGGCG